GCTGAGGAACCATTGCTGACAGCTCAGCTGCCTCGCAAAGGTCGAACTGCTACAAGTGTGTCGATGTCGCCCTCTAGGGACCTCCCACAGCCGTCAGACCCCCAGAAACCTTTAAACTCCCCTCCCAAGCTGGTAGAGCCCAGAGTCAGCCTCTCTGGCCGATTAACCAGGCCTATAATTCTGGACTAGTCAAATAGATCATGGGTCTGTAAGGGACTGTTCTCTGTGTGTGTGTGTGTGTGTGTGTGTGTGTGTGTGTGTGTGTGTGTGTGTGTGTGTGTGTGTGTGTGTGTGTGTGTGTGAAACCACCAGGGGGCTCTACTTACACCCACCACCCTATGTGATATGTGTGTGGGAGGAGACTAGATTTTTATGCAGGGTAGGAATCACACAGAGGCGTCCAGGGGAGCCCAGTGAGACGGGGTGGGGTGTCAATTCTTGCCTTGGCCCCCGAAATGCCTTGAAACGGCGCTAGTTGTGGGACTGAGATTTGAAGGGGATCTGAAATATATCAAATAAATAATTATTACATGCTCACAATTTTTGGCTTTGAAAAGTTAAAAACCTGTAGTGGGATGAATCTACCTTTATTTTCCTTTTCAAACACGTTGTCTTGTATTTAATGTGACTATTTTCCCGTCCTGTCTGTCTCTGAGCTTCCTGCATCCTCTCAGTCCTGCTTCCTACTTTTTCACCTCGAGTTACTTTTGAACTAACCAGATCAAAGGGATCTACTGACCGCAAAAATAGCGGCAGGCCACATCACTGAGGTGAAGTCACCCGAGCACATGACGTGCTAGGCTCAGCTCCGCAGCAGCTAAGCACATCAGGCACAAAAAATAAAAGACAGAAAGCACCTGAAGATATTAGCCGACATAAACGATCATGTGTTAATTATATTTTTTGAGGTGGCGACACTTTGAGGGTGTTACTGTGGCCGTGCACAGGACGCAGCTGCCTCCAGCACACCGATCAGCGCTCTGCTGCTCTCCGTCCTCTCCGCTCAAAAGAATCCCCGAACAGTCCACATAAATCATGCAATATAAGTAGAATCAGGGACTTTTTTGGGGCTCTGCTGGGTGTGTAAGTTGAGAGAAGCTCAAAAGGTTCACTTGAATGGGTGACGGGCTCCCCTTAGCTCCCCCGTAATTCAAACCCTATTTGTGTGCTTTTTAATCTGTTGTGCGGACGCACATGCACTCAAAAAAGGCAACATAGGTATCTGCTAAATTGTCATAACTCAAAAATGTTGCTTCTATTAGATAAAATCATGTTTTGTAGTTGTACATTTTTTAATCATGTAGTTTTAGCATAACATGTAACAAGTTTAAATTTACTAAAAATATGTATGCTAACTGAACATAATCCCAATGGGTTCAGTTAGAAAATCAGTTCCATTCCAGAACACAGGGTGGCAGTACTGAACAAGTTCCTTATATAAAGTAGCCAACGTAGGTTCAGGTTCAGACTGGCAGCCATTTCAAGATTGAACCACGTCCGTGGAAGAAGGTAAGTTAATCTTTTGTCATCCATCAAACAGAAAAGATTACAGGTGCGGATAGTTTATAAAAAGCTATATAAATACCTATTTAACGTTTTTATATTTGTATTTTTCGCTACCAAATATTTTTTTATTACATGAGTGTGAGTAGAGCAATGCACTAGCTAGATTTAGCGGTAAAACAATTGTATTGTTAAAGAAAATGTTTCATAAACGAGCGATTTTGTGACTAATTCTAAAAAGTATCCGTCAGACTGTGCAACTGAAAAAATACTTGTTGAGCTGTTTACCAGCGGTACTTTTTATTTTTATTTTTTATCGCTACATATGCTAGCTTAGCCATGATTTCTTGTCCAATCCATGGGCAAACAGATTTAGCATCGCTGGTCTAAATTACACAGAATAATTATTATTAATATTTGGTTTTTCATTGTTTTGTCGTGCCGCGTTCACACGAATATAACACGTGTTTGATACTTTTCTTGTCCTTCATGAGGTTATAGAAGCACTACAGCAGTGGCCTTGTTCCAGATAAGCCAGTTCTGCGCAAATTGAAATTGATTGGCGCGCAGTTCATGGCGGTATTTTGTGTAAATGTTGATCCTTTTCTAACATTTGAGTAGCGTTTATATATACTCGTTTTGTTTTTTAGAAATGCATGCTTAAAATACAGGAAGAGGTGAAATAATTATCTCAAAATGACCGTTGCAATGGTATTAAATACTAAAATTGTGTAAAATCTTTACATAATACAAAGTTGATTTCTCCATTGTTTCTCTTTTCTCTCAATTTGTTGCAGACCTTTGCCCTACGCTGTCTCCACCGTTTGCCATCCTCCATCGAAAGGGTCCTGTTCTGCAAGTCTGACTGAGTGGTTGATGGAATAGGGAGTCATCTGCTAGTGTCAGGTTCATGATTACATTACTTAAGTGTAAAAAAGTAGAATAGTTTCAAGCTTGTTCCAGGTCAAAAAAGGGCATTTAGAAACTTGGGTTAAATATTATACACAGAGGCTCTTTACATATACAGTTATGTGTGAGTGAAATGTGGAGGTGCAAGGAGTGCAGTGTTTATTGTCCCAATAGATACGAGCTACTTAAACATTTAAGGCTACAGCACCGCCATAGACAAAGTTACTCGTGCCCACATCTAAACTGTCCATGCAGTTTTAAAACCCTAAATGCTCTGCAAATACATTTAAGTAGAGTTCATCCAAAACAAGCTTGCCAGGAAATCTTGGAGCTGGAATCATTTAGTTGTGCACAGTGCAGTTGTAAAAGCCTTTCTAATGAGAGAGATTTTTTTATGCATGTTGGACTTCATTTGAAGAGTCATGAAATTGTTACCTGCATGTTTAGGAATTGTACTTTTAAAACAAACATCTATGGGACTTTTCACTCCCACAAAAACAGGAAACACACACCCCATACAATCAGTGATTTAAAACCAGGTATAGTGACAACAAAAAATGTACTTTCACAAGAATCGTCTGATGCCAACAATGATACTCTTTGTCCAGATGATTCTGCTGTGGGATCAATCAGCACATCTCCATGTACTGATGTTGATATGAGAAAGACCCTGACTGATGTAATTGAACAGAATTTTGCATCAGCATTATTAAAACTAGAACATTTTGCACATGTGCCAGGTGCAAAAATTGATGAGTTCCTAGAGGAACTGCACTGTTTAAGCTCAGCTTCACATCCTCTGTCTGTAAACATCATTGAAACTGTGTTTCAGAAACATGGTTCCACTCTTGACAAATTAGTGATAGAAGAAGTAGCTACAGCCCTCTCTGCATCTCACCCCTTACTGAAAGCTATAGAAAAGGGTGGCTCTTTAAGCACATCATATCTCAGAAACAAGTTTTACAGAGAACATTTTAATGTCATTGAGCCAGTTGAGTACGTGCTTGATAAAAGGCTAAGTAAAAGCTTTCAGTATGTGCCCATTCTGAAGACCTTGCAAGAACTTTTCAAAATAAAACATTTTGTGGAGAAAGTTGTTGAAAACCATCAAATACATAAGACCAGTGAGGAAACTGGAGTAAAGGTCACCTATAAATCATTTTATGATGGATCACACTTTAAGGAAAATTATTTTCTTTCATGCGGTGAATTAAGAATCTTGCTAACTTTGTACATCGATGATTTTGAGGTATGTAATCCTCTGGGAACATCACGTAGGAAACATAAGCTCTGTGGAATCTACTGGACTCTAAGTAACTTACACCCAGCTTCACAGTCAGCACTTTCCTCAATTTACCTTACAATCATGTGTAAATCCGATGATGTGAAAAATTATGGTTATGAACGTATCATGCAACCTCTTCTTCAAGATGTGAAAACCCTTGAGGAGGATGGTATTTTTGTTCCATTGCTTGGAAAATGTGTGAAAGGAACTATTCAAGTTGTAGCAGCAGATAACCTCAGTGCCCACAGTCTAGCAGGTTTTAATGAGAGCTTCAGTGCTGGAAACATCTGCAGAGTCTGCACAGCAACACGGTCAGAGATCCAAGTGACTGACGTGAGATCAGGTTCATTTCCTTTGAGAACTAAAGACCTACACAACTCCCATGTAAACTCAGCTCACCAGAATGGTTCGAGCTGCTGTGGGGTGAAAAGACAGTGTGTAATCACTAAAAACCTTGCACACTTCAGTGTTCAAACAGGTTATCCACCAGATTTAATGCATGATGTTTTTGAGGGCATTGTTCCTGTGGAGCTTGCACATTGTTTGTCATTGATGATATCAAAAAAATATTTCACTCTAGATCTTCTAAACAAATGTATCCTTGGCTTTCCCTACAAATGGTCAGACAAGACTAACAAGCCTTGCATGATTCCACACACATTCTCAAAAACGATTGGGGGCAATGCCCATGAGAATTGGGCACTGATCAGATTTCTCCCATTCATCATTGGGCATCTGGTGCCAGAAGATGAGATGGCATGGCAAATCCTAATGGTCTTAAAGGACATTATTGAGCTGTTGGTTGCTCCAGTACACACAGAAGACTCCATTGCATACCTTGAAAGCAAAATTTCAGAGCATCGAAAAAGATACCAAGATCTCTTTCCTAATGTGCAACTTCTTCCCAAACATCATTTCTTAGAACACTACCCTTCAGTTATCAGGAAGTTTGGTCCTGTTGTTGGTCTTTGGACAATGCGTTTCGAGGCTAAGCACAGTTTTTTTAAGCATATCATACGCCTCTCAAACTGCTTTAAAAATGTGCCCCTCTCCCTTTCCTCCAAGCATCAGCTGATGATTTCTTATCACATGAGAGCATCTAGTTTTGAAAAGCCCATTCTTGAGATGACTAATGTCTCATCAGTTCCTGTAGATGTTTTAGAAAGAGACATTGTTCAGAGCATTGAACAAAAATGCCCTGGCACAATAGAGGTACACATGACCAGATCAGTCAAAACCAAAGGTGTAAGTTTCAAAACGGGAATGCTTGTAGTCCATGGGTCTAACAGTGGACTTCCTGATTTTGGAAAGATTGTTCACATTTTCATTATACAGGAGAGACTGTTTTTTTTGACTAAGCGGCTTTGTGGGTGGTATAGTGAGCATCACAGAGCATTTGAGCTCACAGTATGTCCTACTAAAGCTAGGGATCTGGTGGAGCTTAGTGACCTAGCAGATGACTACCCATTGGCAGATTACTCTGTTGGATCTGTCAGAATGGTGACATTAAAAAGATATGTTCTTGTGTAAGGTATGATGGACTTTATTTTATCTGGATTATCAAAGCTTACAATTTACGGTCCGGAGCGCAGGCTGAGTGTTTTGCAAACCTGCAGGAAATGTTGACAATGCGGTTATCCAGAAAGTAACTAGGGGTTACCAGAAATGTTGCTAAGTTGTTCGCTAAGTACTTTTAAATTTAAAATGTCAAGACGGGGGTTCTATGAAGCTGTTAGAAATTGAATTGATTTGCAATTCGGTGGAGCGAAAGAGGGAGGAGGAAAAAGATCACCTCGTTTTTGTTTTTATAATCGTCCAAAACTGAGATAATCATTGTGATCAAAATTTGATTGAGCAGCCCTAGTCAGTGTGATGAGTTAGGTCACATAGCAGGATTAGGATCACTACTGAGTCATTTTAAGGACTTTATTTACTCGCAATGCTAGCTGAATCGATTCACTTACTGTGTTTTATGCTAAGTTAAACTAAAAGGTGTACAGCTGGGTCAGGAGAATGACTGGGCTGGTTAAAAATTGTTTTTTCCCCATTTGTCTAACTCAGGGAGATATGTCAACAGACAGAATATCAATTTTGGGTGGAAGATCCCTTTAAATGAAACTTTTGGCTTTTGATTTGTGATTACTCCTAAACACATTTATTTGTTCCCCCCCCCCCCCCCCCCCCCCCCACCCCACCTATTCACAGATGGTTGAAAATGGCTATTCCAATAAAGCTGCGAATTATCCTTGGAGTAAACAATTCACAAAGACTTACCCTACAAGATGGAATTCCAGACACTGTAGGTGAACTTCAACAGCACATCAAGAGTCAGTGTGGAGTTGAAACCCCCTTCAGGCTGCAATTTATGGATGCGGAATTTGGCAATGAGTTTACTAACTTGACTTCAGTGTCAGAGATCCAAGACAAAGGTACCTTAAAGCTCATCTTTGATTCAGCATCATCTGATCTTCCCGGTGGCCCCCCACCCCCTCCACCCTACTCTACTGTCATACCACAGTCCATTGATGAGTCACAATGTTCATCTGGTTCCGCAAATGATACTGACATTTTGTCCACTCCTGAATCATCCTCTTCACGTTCATCTGGTTGGCCTGTGTTTTTTCGTGTGCCACGTTTCCCATATGATTGTGAGCTGCAGCTGAACAAAGCCAATGCTGCTTTTAAAGAAAACGGAACACTGTTGGATCCAGACATGAGACTTAAAACGGCCATTCTCGAAAGTTTGGCTGAAGAAATAGTACAGTACAAAGTGTATCCCTCAGACAGGGATTTTGACGAAGTTGCTGAAGCCCTTGTTGAATCCCACCCATGTCTTAAAGAACCAGGCTCTGCCACCGGATATGGTGGCTGGAAGGTTAGCTTAAAATACAAGCTAGCCAACTACAGACGGAAGCTCAAGAGGCTTGGATGTCCAGAGGTGGAACTAAATTCGCTCACAAATAAACCTGTCGACAAATGCAGCCCTGCATTTAGTGTGAAGAAGCCTAGAAGGGCAGAAGTAAACTACTGTCCCACCTTCCCAGCTAGTGAAACTGCAGAGTCGCTTGAAAAGATGAGAGAGACCCTTGCTTCAGAAGCAAACAAAAGAAACAACGAGGAGACTGTGGCAGCACTGATGGAGAAGACTTTTGCTCACAGAAGACAAGAAGTTATTCGTGATGCACCTTTAATTGCTTTTTTCAAAGGCAGATGGCCAGCTCTCTTCTGTGAACGTGAGGTATGTTAATTATTACGCAATTGTTTTCCTTGTTTATGATCTTGTGAATTGTTTAATTAGTTGATAATTTCACTGCTTTTGTCCACTATTTATTTCCATTTCAGCTAACTGCTGAATTTCGGAGGATCACAACTGTCAGTTTGCTGTCAAAGTTCTTCTCCAACATTGATGCTCAATCTTCCAAGCTGATGAGGGTGTTTGGCAAGAAAGGCGGAGCTCAAGGAAGAAGGATTACGCGCATCATGGTACCCATTACCCAGGTATGACACTGTGTTGTCTTTTGCAGCCATCTTACTTTTAATTTTAAAGAGTGAGTGACTCCTAAAATAACTTTTTTTTGCCAGTAACCTGTATAGAGGAGTGTCTAATAGTGCTTCTTAGGTATGTTCTTGCTGCGTCGTATTTCTAATTCCATGCTGTAGTTCTTTCTTAAAACACAGAACAGTTTTGTTACCCGTTTTCCCGCTACGTTTCATCTGCGGCTGCAGACTACCTCAGGCTGATGCTGATGGTGGCGTCACTTCCTTCTCCATTTATCCACAGGCAGCAGAGGACGTTGTCGCCCTCTGCTGCCCGCTCTCCCCTCTCCGATGATGCAGTCCCATGCGCGGTCCAACGTGTAAACTCCATCGTCCCTGTTCATGGTCCCACATCCACGTCTCCTTATCTCGATAGCTTCTTTTATCCATCTTTTGTATTTTTGATGTTCGGTGTTTATGATCCGTGTGTTGTCCCAGTCCATTACATGGTTTTCTCTTAAGCAATGATCTGTTACGGCTGACTTCTTTATTGTACTTTCTGCTTCTTCTTTTGCTGCTCTTGTGTGTTTTGCAAACTCTGCAATAAAACATACGTAGGAGAAACCGGACGCCAACTCAACACACGAACAATAGAACATAGAAAGGAGTGTGAGAAAGAGGCAAATCGAAAACACACAAGAGCAGCAAAAGAAGAAGCAGAAAGCACAATAAAGAATTCAGTCGTAACAGATGACTGCATAAGAGAAAACCATATAATGGACTGGGGAGTGCGGGCAGCAGAGGGCGACAACGTCCTCTGCTGCCCGCGTATAAACGGAGAAGGAAGTGACGCCACCATCAACGTCAGCCTGAGGAAGTCTGCAGCCGCAGATGAAACGTAGCGGGAAAACAGGTAACAAAACTGTTCTGTGTTTTAAGAAAGAACTACAGCATGGAGTCTAATAGTGCTGTTGTCATGTGTAATCATTACTGTGGCAGTTTAGTGCAACTTACCGTAAATCCTCTTAATATTAGCCTGTATTTAATTAACAGCCGGGTATCACATTTTGGCAGGTGTCAGAGTCGGCGGAGGTGAATAATGGCCTGTTTTTTATTGTGGCCGGGTGGAATGTGGTAACAAGCAAGTACCACAGGGGGGCAGTTGTGTCATCCGTCTCACTTTTGATTTGCCAGTGATAGACCGCGAGGGTAACTTTAACCGTGCAGAGACGAAGAGGAGGCGAAAATTTGATATCAAGTTCAAAGAGAACGTGCTGATTATGCTGTAGAACACTGGGGAGCAGTAGCAGGGGTTGTATGAACTAGTCACTAGTCGACTTCACTGCTCTATAGTGACTTGTTATGCCTATCATCGACTAGTCGCTGTCACTTGATAATGACCGGCAAGATGCAGTCCTCGGAAAAGACAACAGCCTGCTGTCAGCAGGTGACAAGCTCCTGCACGTCAGAAGGCAGCGCGCTGTGCCAAAGTGTCGGTACTGACACCCGCCGTAAAACGGACATTTAACCAAATTGTGACCTTTACCCTCTTGCAATTTTACCTTCCCCTCACCCCCATCCTAACCATAACCAGCTTGCGCATGCAAAGCTCTGATTGTTGAGGCGCTCCAGACATCTGCATCCTGAGCACGGCCACAGTAACATCAAATGAGGTGTCGCTACCTCAAAAACTAATTTAACACGCGTTCGTTCATGTCGGCTCATTCCCTTTAATGTTTTCTGTCTTTTATTTGTTCCTGATGCTTTTCGCTGCTGTGGATCAGAGCACGTCACCTGTTTTGTTCTCGGTGCGCACCTATCACTGATGTGGCCGGCGAGCAGCGTTCACTCCGCTGTTTTTGCGGTCGGTAGATCTTTTAGAACTGCAGTTCAAAGGTAACTCATGAGGTGAATATACAAGAAGGCAGGTAGCAGTTTTTCTTTAGGATTCAGAGGAGATGCAGGAAGATAATAAACAGGCAGGACAGAGAAATAGTCAAACAACAACAAGTTAGTTTTTGTACCTGGTGCAGGGTATCCGCGGGTCCTTAAAAAGTCTTAAATTAGCTTTTCCTAATTTAAGGCCTTAAAAGTCCTTAAAAATGACAAATAATCCTTAAATCCAGTTTCCAGAGGTCTTAAATTACCAATGACCAATGGTACCAATGAAACAAGATTCTTTTATTTCTATAAAAATTTCGTGAATTTCTAGTTAGTGTTCAGCATTTTTTGTGTATGACGTTGGCGTAAGCGGAACCGTACGCAGTCAGTTGGTTGTGAAAGGGGGCTATTTTTCTAGATAAGCACATTAGCTGGTTAAGCTAGTGGGAGCTTGCGCCATGGGGAAGGGCAAGTTTAATGGTAACTGGATGGCTAATCCCACGTTCGCGACATGGTTAGCACCGGTTCCAGGCAATAGCTGGAAATTATCGCTTAAATTTAATTTTTAAAATAGCTTAAATTTGGTCAAAGTGGCCTTAAAAAAGGTCTTAAAAAGTCTTAAATTTGGCTCCCTTAAATCTGCAGATACCCTGTGGTGGTTGCAACAAACCGATACCATTGAAGGTAATCAGGGACTTAAAGCGCTTCTTAGGTGGAAACAGAGCAGTCCTGTGGATGTTGTTGTTGGTTCTGCTTCTGCTGCGTGTGTTCTTTCAGTACCACTTTAGTTTTTATCCGTGTGGGTCGCCCTTTTGTCCATTTTTAATGGTGGTGTTTAGGGTTGCTGAGACTCCCATTTAGGAAGCACTGGAAGCATCCTGTGTGGAAATACTTTGGATTCCCAAAGCTGCTAAAAAACAAATTCAAGATGATGGCTCGGCTATCTGCAGAGCTTACAGAAATAAGTTTCAACACTCCCAACTTGTTGCCATCATCTCTTTGAGTTTATCACGCAGACAAATAAGATCCAACTGACTTAAATTATGTTAGTGACTGACGTGATTTAACAGTAATATAAGAACAATCCAGTGAACAAGGGATCATTTTGTTGTGTTTTACAATTTCTTTGTATTTGTCTATAACAAGACTGTATTGTAAGCTGTTTTTAACATTTAATCAACACCTCTTTGTAATTCCTATTCTACGTAGCAATAATATAATTTATCCATGTCCAAATAATAATTGTTAAATAAACTACAGTCATTTAAAAAAATTGTTCAATGGCTGTTTTGAAAAGTAGGCTTGACTACGTTAGTAATGGTGTGCTTGCTGGAGATCCCTCGCTAGGACGGATAAAGGCATTGTGTGTCTTCGTACAGACGCAGAATCATAAAATAGGCTTTAACCACAGCTTTTCACACCATAGTTAATAGTTAAAAATCACTAACAGAATAACCTGTGACATTATGACAGATTTACTGATTAACAAAATTGGGGGGGGGGGGGGGGTATTTGCTTAGTCATGAGACAGTGATTGTAAGTGTGTGGTGTGTACATAATAACGTTATTTCAGTTTTAATCGTTTTCATTCTATACAAAATATGCTGATGTTAGAAACATTCATGTCAGTGTATCGGTATCGACAAATATCGGTTATAACAGTGATATTAATATCGGATATCGGTATCAGCCCAAAAATTTCATATTGGTGCATTACCACATGTAGTGTTAGACAATTCACTCAATTCAACAGTTTATCAGCAAAAAAGATGACTTGGGGATGATTTGTTTGTTTCTATTATGTTTTAATTCTATTTGTGTTCTATTCTAGCTTTTAATTATTTACTTATTCCACTTTTCTCAGACTGACTCCATTGATGTGAAGAGAGAGTGCATCCTCAAAGCCTTGTGTGTGTACCTGAACGAAGAGCCAGAGAACCTTTGGAAAGAGTACATGGTTTGTTTCAGTTTTTAACCATTACTTATTTTACTTGGAAAAATACATTGTAACTAAATTAGGGATGTTCCGATCACGTTTCTTTGCCCCCGATTCAATTCAGAGACATTTGATTTTGTGTTTCTGCCGATAGAGTCCCGGTCCAATAATTTTCAGGAAACCATTAATACATGAAAACACATCCAAGTTGTCCTTTTAAGTTTCACTTTTCAGTTGTTAAGTGAAGTACACTGATAAAAAAAACAACAACTATATCCTCAATTTACTTAAAAGTGGCAGCGTTGCTCTTATTTCAAGTTGTTCACTCCATCAAAATGCAGCTGCAAGCAATGTATGTTCCTGTGACAGCAGGCAGGTGGAACCTCGACCAACAGGCTAACTTTTCCCTGCATAACACCTGTAGCTGCAGCACAGCTCTAGTGCTGTAGGAACCAACCCGACATTTTGCAGTCTGACAATTTTTCTTTGTTAGCTTATCTTTCTCTGTCGGCTAGCTTTGCGTTTTTGTCTTTCTTCACTGTGGAACTGGTACTTACCAAACTTGGAATTAATGGAGACTGGTGATTCACTTTGTTTACACCCAAAAGGAAAAGCCGCAAGCAAAAGTTGTCTGTTTTGAAAGCAGCAAATCATGGCGCTCTATCCTTTCCAGCGTGTTAAATGCCCAGTATGCACACATTACAAGTTGCTGTTGCTCTGCCGTTGCTGTTTGGTTTAAAATACCACCATGCTGAACACAGTTTAGCTCTCCTGAGAAAACATGTTAGCTCTGCATTAGCCTGCTTGTTAACAGCTGTATCTTGGCATCCGAGTTCGATTAGCTTTTGAATGCTAATCCCTGAAAATGCTAGCTGAACTTGCTTAAAAACTAGGCTGAACCCGAAACAGCTCTGTCTGACCCTGACCCTCTGTCTACCCCCCTTTCTCTCTCTCCCGGTGAAGGACACTGAAAGCAGTGAGGCTGCAATGAGGGATACAACTTTTGGAATCTATGTGATTCGCAAAGAAGGTGCAGAACCGGATGATGGACCAGAAGAGGTTGGGATCATTCTGGAGGGCGTGGAAGTTCTGGCAGAGCTGAGAAATGTGCCACAGGCTGTGGCCATGTTGTTGGCGCTTGTGTACAGTCTGAACCTCAGCTACCCTCCAGAACTGAAATACACATTTGAGGCATTGCAGAAGATAATAATGGAGCTTGATGGAAACAGACTCTCAAGAAAAAATCAAGCACTGAAAACTCTGCTTGCTCGTTATTAGTCACTGTGGTTAAAGCCAAATGTTTGTTATTGGCCAGGTTTTATAGTATTTCAATTTCTAATTGTTATATTTTGGAGTTTTAAAAATAGATTAATGCATAAAGTTTGCCTTGAATTTTCACAAAAGTTTTCAATGTGGAAGACAGACAAAAACGTTGGCATTAAAATGGTTTGCACTGAATCAAATTGGGTAAGAATTGCACACTGCTATTTTTGTTTTCCTTATGATTGATTTTTGTTTAGCTCAAACAAGTACACCAAAGTTGTGATGGCTTTTCTGGTTTGATTTCTTTGTTTTCATGGGAATGTGCAATGATTTTATTTTCTTGTTTTTTCAGTCATCTTTAAGGATGTCTGCGTTTGCACTTAAGTGTTAAGTCAGCCACTTTTACCTTCAAGCAATGAAGTAAAGTTTTATTTGAAAAATTCAGTTTCTGCTGTTGTTAGTGTTCAAAACTATTTGGATATCGGCATTTCTTGCACTAAACTTTTGTTTTGGGTAATAGGGGCAGTGGTAGTAGAGGAGTTAACTGACCTCTCCTGTAACCAAAGGGTTGCAGTTTTACACCTTGCTTAGTGTGTTGCAGTTGTGTTCTGGATCAATGCTGCATCCTCCTTGCCTGTTGGTGGCTGTTGGAGGGAACCAGCTGCAGTGTGTTCAGTGTCTTGCCCTTTAATTCTTTGGCATGTGGCAGGGGTAGCTGACTTCCATAGCTGCCCTGGATGTGCATTATTTTTTAAAGTAATGTAACTACTATCAGATAAAATAGCAAAAAAAAAAAAATCATATTAGCCAAATGGGATCTATGTTACATTTACCCATACAAATGTTGTATAACTGAACAAGGCTAATTAAGTACTATGACCCAAATGTATCAAGTTGACCCAACGTGTTGACATTTTGTTGACGCAACAAAATTATATTTTGCTGAATCAAAGCATTTTAGTTAGGTGGAAATCCTTTCCATGTTATTTTTATTACGTTCACCCAACATAATATTTTTGTGTTTAAATTTCACAAACAAATCATGTACTTAATGTTACATTTACCCATACAAATCTAGTTGTGTTGAACAATGGTAATTAGGTCCAAGTAACCAAAGTACATCAAGTTGATCCAACATGTTCACATTTTGTTCACTCAACAAAATTGTATATTGCTGAATCAAACCATTTCAGTTAGGTGGAAATCCTTTCCATAATTTTATTATGTTCACCCAACAAATTTTTTCTTTGAGTGTGGAGCGAATAAAGGGTGTGAGCACGACTGCAGCACCTCGTGCCGTCCCGGCGTTCCTCCACAGTGGTTCCAGGTGTGTGTTCTGTAATGGGGAAACTTGACCTTTAATCTACTGTGATTTTCATGCTTTGTCATTAAAACAAAGATTTCCAGGATTCTGATTACCACTCAAAGTTACACTTTACTCACTGATGATATAAAAGTAAATTAAAATACATCTTTATTTAAAAACACAACACAATACTGAACAAAAAAGCAAGATGAAAACGGATGGTTTTCTCCTTTTAGTTAGAAACGTATTTGACGTTCTCAGAGCAAACTGACGGTACGATATGTGTACTGGGAAGTGCTGCCTTGCTCTACAGATTGCAGCCAAAATGTGATGGATTGGCTGTCAGCAAATTCCAATTTGCATCCAGTGATTGTAAAACCTAATTACCGCTAGAGAAGCCACGAAGAGCTGGAAATCTCCTGTGGCTCCTGGTTAACTGCCGTATGTCCACCTCTTGTGTGGTTTTCAGAAAAAAGCCCTGACGTCTGTCTCGCACTGACACTCTGCAGCCAAACCCCTCTGTGCTTCATGAGAAAACGAGAGCAACCTGGTGCTTTTTTTTCTCCACGTAGCCTGTCACACTCAATACCTGCACCTCTCCTTCACACTATCCATCCACACCCTCCTCCTCTTCATGTTATTCACCTTCCTTTGAAGCGGCAGAGGGGAGCAACAGCTGGCCACATGCGAACAACATCTCCTTTGGAGTCTGCCCCGTGTTTAATAAGATGGCCTTGACTGTCAGCGGCTGTCGTTTTAACAGATGAAAGGGGTCATTTGGTTCCTGTCCACCAACTGGGGGTGAGAGCGAGACCCAAAGCGAGCTCCCTGCAGGGTGATAAAGGGCGCTGACGAGGACGGAGCCTTGAACATCGGTGTCTGCATCACTTGACAAGAGGACACTAATGTGGACCCGTTTGTGAGATCAAAGGAAAACACAATAAAGGGAAAACTCTTCTTCTTGATGGGAGCTAAATCAAAGAATTTATTCCACTCAGTGGAGGTGAATAGAGGAACAATCTTAGCATAAGAAAATGCACTTCCAGAACCTCTAAAGCTCAGCAAGGAACACTCTAAATCTGATTTGTGTTATCAATATGAGTCCTCGCGCTTATAATGTTTAATGTATGAGCAATTTTCATCATCACAAGCTCTGGAGGTGTACTCAGGCGTGGCGTCTTTACTGAGGAGTATTCCCCCGCCTCGAGTTCAGCCTGCTATTAATTCAGAACGTTAAAATGATAGAAAGATGATCAGAATTTTATTCCCTGTGGAAATTATCCCCTGTCATCCAAAGAATATCAGTCTTTTCACAAACCCTGTTCCGGTTAATCATCATCTGATGAGGATGTTTTAGCATCAGATTCCATGTTTGTTTCCTTCCTTCTGCTTCTCTTTCTGACAAATTCCAAGTGTTTGTCATCTTCTTTAATAAAGACGCTAATTGAATCTGTGATCATGAATGAGTGCGTTTCCAGGCTTTTAATTACCAAGAGTCAACACAGTTTTGTTCAGTTTGTCACAAAGCTAACCTGCATCTAATCCAAGGTCTGTTTAGATTACAGAGCAGGGAGGAAATGTTCCAGAGAGATGGGTCATCGAGTTTATGACGTGAAACAGCAAGAAAATAAAAGTGATCAGCAAAATGTTGCTGCGTTGAGTTTCCTCCATGCTTCATCACATGCGCGGCTTCTCTCTGAGTGCCCGTGTTTTGATGAATTGCCGCTGCGGCCATGTGCTCTTGCATTTTGATTCACTGCTTGAAGGATGATTAAAGAGGGAGTTGACTGGAAGTTGCTGCAGGATGAAAAGTCGCTCTAGACGAAGAAGGGATGCAGTGAGGTTAATGAAAGATGATCGGACCTGCTTGACCTGAACCAGAAAAAAAAAACCAATGAGATGAACTTGTGGTCATCCTTTTTGTGCATCCCATCACTTCCTAATATTCCCCGAGGAAGGCAGGGATGATCCCGCAGCTATGAATCACAGCTTTAATGTCAGCTGCTTGACTCGCTCGATAAACCTTACTTGATTGTTCCGGACCGATAAGAAAAGGAATTACTGGAAAGCAGTGTCGTTTGTGCAGGAAAACCCTAAATATGTTGCCACATTATAGCTTTAGGAGGTTATTGTTGTTCACAGCACAAGAGGTAAATCTGACCAAACTGCAGCATCCTCTGGTCTGCCATGGTGCAGATTTCTCACACAAATTCACACCACCGTGTGTGAACTTCACAGGTGATCAGATGATCAGACTTCCAGTTTGATGCTCTGAATGAAGCACTAATCCAACATCAAGCTGGTGTGGTTGATGAAAGAGAGGAGAATGCGTCACTGTTACATTAACCAGGCAGGCTGTCACAGTCGAGAGCAAGGCAGCTGGAGGAGGTGTGATGAGCAGGGAATTAGCACAGATTTATCAGTCACTCTAAACCACACCAGGAGCATCAAGCTGCTCTGTGATGACAAAGGTTTATCAGGTTTGTTTGGTTCACATTAAAATTATTTATTTTCTTGAGGGATGTTTACTTGATAATTGAGAAAAATAGCTAAGTCCCAAATAGAAGCGGCTAAAATGAACTTCCTTTATTCAATGGCTGGTATTGTGAGGAGTACCATCATCCTCTGGAGGTGTTTTGGATTTGGCCCACTCAGAGGAGACACCAGGACAGAGCAGTAACTCACAGGAGGGATTCTTTGTCCTTTACTGGGAACAACTTGGGATTCTCAAGGAGGAGGCAGGAAGGGCTGCTAGCGAGGGATGTCTGGCTTCGGTCCTGGATCTGTGGATGGATGAGAAGCTAAATGCTAAATGAGGCACACAAACAAAAACAAACCAACAAATGAAAAAGAAAAACTAGATAAAAAACAAAATAACAACCAAGATAATACATAGCTAAATGACTAGATGATAAAGTGCAAAGTTGTCCTCTTTTAAACTGATCTTCATAAATACACTTTTTAGTGATTTTCTTTGAACTTGGTTGTTTTAGACACTGCAGATCAGTTTGATGTTTTTGAAACCTGGTTAAACGTTCAAGAGTGATCATGAACCCATTATTAATTACATCCATTCATTTTTGAATGCTTATCCGGGATCAGGTCGCGGGGCAGCAGCCTAAGTCCAGGCTTACCTCTCCCCAGCCACCTGGGCCAGCTCCTTTGAGGGAATCCCAAGGCGTTCCCTGGCCAGCCGTGAGACATGGTCCCTCCACGATCTCGGCCATTATTAATTATTAAATTGATAATTAATTTTGCCATCCTGTCTTCATGATAAAGAAAGGATAAATGCATTGATGTTGAATGCTGTGAGCTTGTGTTGTGTAACACTGGGAATAAAAGTTAATATTACATTTTTTTTTCTTTTAGGAGGACAAACTTTGTGGGTTTTTTTTTCATACCTGCTGAGTTTCGACTGAGCACTTCAGTCTTCCTCAGAGTGTCTTCCAACACAAACAAAGTTTGTCTTAGCAAAAGAAAACAAGTCATATTAATTTATCAAGAAGACAAATATCCATCCATCCATCCATCCATCCATCCATCCATCCATCCATTTTCATCCGCTTATCTGGAGTCGGGTCACGGGGGCAGTAGCCTAAGGCAAGAAGCCCAGACTTCCCTCCCCCCAGCCACTTGGGCCAGCTCCTCCGGGGAAATCCCAAGGCGTTCCCTGGCCAGGTGAGAGACATAGTCCCTCCACCGTGTCCTGGGTCTACCTTTAGGTCTCCTCCCGGTTGGACGTGCCTGGAAAACCTCACCAGGGAGGCGTCCAGGAGGCATCCTGACCAGATGCCCGAGCCACCTCAACTGGCTCCTCTCGATGTGGAGGAGCAGCGGGTCTACTCCGAGCCCCTCCCGGATGACCGAGCTTCTCACCCTATCTCTGAGGGAGAGCCCAGCCACTCTTCGGAGAAAACTCATTTCGGCCGCTTGTATCCGTGATCTCATTCTTTCGGTCACTACCCAAAGCTCATGACCATAGGTGAGGGTAGAAACGTAGATCGACCGGTAAATCGAGAGCTTCGCCTTCTGACTCAGCTCTCTCTTCACCACGACAGACTGGTACAACGCCCGCATCACTGCAGATGCAGCACCAATCCACCTATCGATCTCACGCTCCAGTTTTCCCTCACTCGTG